ATTTGACACTTTGGATGCAAAGTGAAGATTTTACACTAGTTGTATAATTTCTGTGCAGTGACCACACATGGTGCTTTGCACACAGTTAAGGACAAGTAGCTAATTTCAGAGACAGGGCTAAAGATACTTGTAATTGAGTGTGACATATATCTGGTCCTGTGTATAGACAGCAAGATTCAAGGTTCACATGCTTCAAGCCATCTACTTCCCCATTTGTGCAAGTAAGGTTACATGAAGAGAAAAAAAGACGAGTGTCACTGAGTGTTAGGAGCGTGTAGTGTACTGAGAAGTCACATCATGAAGTGTCATTTGTCTTCATTAAATCAGTGCTGAAGAGCAGGCGAAACTCCTGCTTCACCCACGTCGAGCAACCCGGTGTGCTGGAAGGTATTTCTGCCCATAGCAGGGGGGTTGGAACTAGATGATCTTTGAAGTCTCTTCCAAACCAAACCATTTATGATACCAGCAGCCTTCAGAAGTAGCACTCATTGGACATCAGTGGTTCATTCTTGATTACAAGCTCTTGTCAGTGAGCATTGAATTCTGTGTAAATTAGGTTGCGTTGGCCTGTCTTAACATTACTGACTTGTTATAGGTTCAGACTATGGCTGAGTTCAGGTGAGAAGGCAAATGTGCCTCTAAGCTATCTTTATACTTTCTCTGACAAGGCAGGCAAGCACTGAGTCAGCACTAGGAAAGAAAGAGAATAGCCACAGGGCCGTGCTAGTTTATCATGTCAAGAGGTACTGGTGGTTCTGGGCCAGGAACAGCAGAGCACAGCACATGCAGCACTTACCTAACCAAGCCCTGACATGTCTTCTACAGTAGGCAGCTCTGTTGCTTCTCTTGATTAGCCAAGGCTGCACTGTGTCTCTTATGACAGCAAAAAATAAAGCGTGTGAGGTAGGTTGAAGGTCTAACTTACACCAAACTACAGTTTTTAAGTACTATTTTTTATTACTTGCCACCCACTGATCCTGGCCCTCAGGGAAGTCCAATGAATTGGGATTCCTGTTGGGGCAAAGACAGTTTAAGAGGTTCTCATCCTTACCTGCATCCTGCCCCGGGTTTCCATTCCTTCACAGTTTGGTCAGTTCACCTGATTGCAAGGCAGCTTCTCGGTCTAGATCTGTGATGTGATCCGGGCTGGAGGCATGTATTTTAAAGGCTTGGGTTTTTGACCCTTGTCATAATCTGGATGATATAATGGCTCTGTTACCATCACCTCTAGATGTTTGAGTTTACGCAATGGAGGATGTAGTGACCTGGGTTGAAAGGGTAGAAATGAGCATCTAGGAGAAGGAAAAGCTGGAAGTTTCTCCACCTAAAAAGTTAACTTGAGCGTAAGGTAAGCGTTCATCATCATATCAAGCTGTAAAGCAAGTTTCATGTTTGTTCATAAGCACTACACAATTAGAGGCGTCTTCTGAACTACTGGAGTAAAGTCAACTATTTTTTAATTACGTTGTTAGTCAAAAATGAGGTTTGCTCTTGTTCGTAGTGTCCTTGGATGTGTGATATAGAAAATCTAGGTAAATCAATTAAAACCTTTGTCTTGAAGTGCCACTTAACAGACCTTCATGGCAAACGATTGAAAGGCAGGTACTTTCCATGGATTCCCTCGCCTTGCCTCAGCAGCCTGTTGGATCCCTGGGTGGATCTTTTGCATAGTAAGGTGATTATTATCCTGGAGCAGTTCTGTTCACGGAGCTGGTCCAGGCTGTTGTGTTGGGATGGTCACATTCCTGCCTGGTCAAGGCCTTCTGAAACCAATTGTGCCTTTTTTCACCCCTGCCAGAAGTTACACAACCAACAGTCAAAAGTTCAGAGGCTTCTTGGTACCAAGGAGGACTTTGGTTTGTGAGGAAGCTCACTCCCAATAAGGAAGGACGTGGATTAAAAATACCATAGTTGCTTCACTGTTTCTCTCTTTTCTCTCTTTTCTCTCTTTTCTCTCTTTTCTCTCTTTTCTCTCTTTTCTCTCTTTTCTCTCTTTTCTCTCTTTTCTCTCTTTTCTCTCTTTTCTCTCTTTTCTCTCTTTTCTCTCTTTTCTCTCTTTTCTCTCTTTTCTCTCTTTTCTCTCTTTTCTCTCTTTTCTCTCTTTTCTCTCTTTTCTCTCTTTTCTCTCTTTTCTCTCTTTTCTCTCTTTTCTCTCTTTTCTCTCTTTTCTCTCTTTTCTCTCTTTTCTCTCTTTTCTCTCTTTTCTCTCTTTTCTCTCTTTTCTCTCTTTTCTCTCTTTTCTCTCTTTTCTCTCTTTTCTCTCTTTTCTCTCTTTTCTCTCTTTTCTCTCTTTTCTCTCTTTTCTCTCTTTTCTCTCTTTTCTCTCTTTTCTCTCTTTTCTCTCTTTTCTCTCTTTTCTCTCTTTTCTCTCTTTTCTCTCTTTTCTCTCTTTTCTCTCTTTTCTCTCTTTTCTCTCTTTTCTCTCTTTTCTCTCTTTTCTCTCTTTTCTCTCTTTTCTCTCTTTTCTCTCTTTTCTCTCTTTTCTCTCTTTTCTCTCTCTTCTCTCTCTTCTCTCCTCTCTCTTCTCTCTCTTCTCTCTCTTCTCTAAGCAGAGGCAGTGAGACAGTGTAGTCTGCTTCAGAAATGCATTCAGGTAAATGCTAAAAAGGTGGGGGTTTTCTGGTTTAACAAGCTGCAAGGCAAATCTGGCAGTTTTGCTGCTACCAGCGAGGGACATGTTGCTGCCTCTTCTTCCTCCCTGCAGCTCTCTATGGCTCTATGCCTTCTGCCTGGCAGTGACTGCAGTCCACACAGGATCATTCCCTGAACTGGCTGAGCTTGTTAGGCTGATGGGAAACTGTCCACATCTTTTCTGCTTCTGGGTTAGTTTTCTCCCAGGTTAGTGCGTTGATTTGGCTCATGTAAGGGTCTGTTGGCTGCTGGAGCTGGGGCCAAGTATACAGACAGCAAGAATAAAAATAGAAAAAAAACCCAGTGTGGTTGAATAGCGTAGGCTTGCCCCTTTTGACAGTAGTGATTTGTCAGATTGGTTCACACCATGTCAAGGAGCACTTGTCAGGTCATAAGGGAGGTACGGTAGCACTTGACAGCCACTGTCTTCTAGATTGGGACTATCAAAAAAAATCCCAAAGATTTTGGTAGCACAGGGTAAGAGCCTCACTGGATCTTCCTGCAAGGGCTCTGAGTTGCTACGGAGTTGCTGGGGTGATGCTGATACTTACAGGCAGAGAGAGTCATCCTCACCTCTGTGTCTCTGAAGATTATCCAGAGTGGCTCTGAGATTCAGGTTCTGCTTAGCAGTCTCACTCTGCAAAAAGGTATCTTCTGATTGATTTCTGGAAAGTATTGATTCAACAGGACTGTGAGTTGTTATAATTGCCATTAATGGGTGGAGTTTTATGGAGAGAAGCACGTGACATGCAGAGCACTTTCTGCTTTGTCATCCTGCCTGTGGCAGGTTGCCCGAACCAACAAGGGAGAGGCCCCTAGGAGCAGCAGCCTGCAGACAAACTCTTTCAAATCTCTGCCAGAGGTCATGGTTGCCTTTTGGTTTTGGGGCTAGTGCTAAAGCTAGGCACCTCTAGCATAGAGCTACCTCAAAATAATTAAAGATGTTTGCATAAATGCCTGTGTTCTCTAATGACTGGATTTTTATCTCATTGAAGAGACAGTTTTAGGTGAACATTCCTGAGGTTGTTCAAACTTGTTACAGGAGTAAAGTATAAGGCTTCAGTTGGTTCAGGTGCATGCATGACTGTAACTTTGATAATATATTGAAGAAAAAAATTCTCCTTTGTGAAGATTGTGACCAGTGTTCAAATCTGTGCTCTTGCTTTTCTTTTTCACATGTGTGTATATTCAGAGATTAATTCCTTTATTACTTCTCCAGGCTAGAGTAGGCCAAGTATTATCCATCACTATTACTCCTATTAACTTTTGCATAACAATTCTGCTTTTTAAACCCCTATACCAACATCAGCAGAATACTCTTCCCAATACCTTTCTTAGGGA